CACACTTCTTAGCATGGCTGTGGCAGAGCCCAGCAGTCCTGTCTCTATGGTGGCATGTGGGATGTGTAGTATCAGGGTCTAATGAAAATCAAAGGGGAATTCATTTTAGTTTGTAAAATCTGTCTGCAAATCTAATTTTGACCAGCAACAACTTCAGCTGCAAAATTTTCACATTATTTGTACTGGAGGAATATATACTTTCACATATATAGAAACATCCACAGACATTCTTTTAGAGAATCACAATAATCAGTATGTGAGATTTCAGTGCTCCAGAGGCCTTCTGCTCTGATGGGGGTGAATCAGACTCTACATGCCATGAACAATGAGAACCCAGTGCCTCACTCTTGTAGGCATGCCTTGTTTCAAAACACAAGGGTTACCTAATCCAGGTTAAGAGAATTGAGCAACAAAGGAGGCACTCCAAGGCCACAGAGACTAAATGCAATAAAAGGAGGGAATGGCAGGTCAGCCTCAGAGTTTGTTCCTGTGGCACAGAGAAACTGGATGAAGTTCCTTATAGCAAACAGCCAGGGAAAGTCTGACACTTACAGTGGATTCCAATGGAGACAGAGGCAGAAACAACACAGAGAAGGGCAATGCCTTGCCCAGAGTCAGCTCTGCTCTGTGGAGTACCTAAGCTATCATCTATGACACCATGCTTCTCTCTAACCTGCCACCTCTGGTTACCATCAGTGTGGCTGAAAACTCCTGGACTGTTGCATTACTGAGGCTGCCCAAGCAGCAAATTCACCCCATTCCCTGGGATGTGAGCACCTCCTGCAACCCTTCCCTGTGTTCTGACATTCCTAAACTCTTGACACTGCACCTTTGAAGTGAAGCCAAGCAAAGCCTGAGGCCAGGAGGTGCTGGGAGAGGGCACCTCTCTCACTGGAGCCTTGCATGCCGTGTCTCCCCTGGAAGAGCAGCTCCAGCACCTCGCAGGGCAGGGCTGAGGTCAGGCAGAAGTGGAGTCTGGGTGAAGAGAGGAGCAACATGAAAGCCTGGAACAGCACAGCAAGTAGCAAGAAGTGGTGAACAAAGGGAGCAACACAGAACTCGGTCCTACTGAAGATGCTGTGGGAGGAAGAAAAGCTATGGTTATGGGTGTAGCAGTGAATGAATATGTTCTGCCAAGGAAAGAAGGTGGATTTCCAGGCCTGGTTTTAAAGGCATTAGCCAGTTGATAAAAACTTCTCAGAGAAGCTCACAGGGGCACTAAACAACAATAATTAAGGCTCTACATTCCCAGAGTCCTCTTTTCTTTTATGCTCTTGGTAATCCTGAAGCCAAGGGTACAAGGGAATGTAGCACAATGAGCTCCATGGCTGTCAGACTGAGTAAATGCAAGAGTGTTCCAAAATTCAGAAAAAAGGCGCTGTGATTCCAAGCCTCTCAAGTGCCAAATCACCAAATGCAAACTACAGCAAGTTCCACCAAAAACGCAGTCATCAATACAACAGGTTGTTTATAACAAACCAAAGCTGACTGAATAAAGGATGGAGGTTAAGGGAGGTCTGCACTGCACACCAAGGTTTTTCTAAAAATATTGTACACCTGCCATTTGTTGCACACACTGATCATATTTCGTCTATGACATAGAGAACTCGTAGTTCCAAAGGGGATGTGGTTTACGTTCCTGAGTCTTAATGCTTTTTCCCTTCTGTAAGGCAAAACTCCTTACTACTGTCACTAAAATAAAGCCAAGAGGACAAAAGTCACACGGTAACAGTTTAACTGTTCCTCTCATTGATCTTTGGAAACAGTCTCTTCAGCAGGATTGTACAGCTCTGGCACTTCAATTTAGCAAACTTTTTATGCAACTCATGAAGGGAATGCAGCCAACTCTGTACACTCAATTTAAATCAACTTGCTGATGATATAAAAAAGAGTGCTGAACCACCGGTTTGCTTCATCTGCTCCAAAACTACCAACACAAACCCTGAGGTATTTATTCCTGAAACGTTAATAGAACAGTCTAGGGCATCAGATCAGTATGTGAACTCTGCTTTGATCCCATGTCAGTCCAAAGAGCTGATTTAACAACTCGTTGTTTGGTTACTTGACAGTTCAGAATGTAGCTGGGCTTTTTGCTCCCACCAGGCTTTTGCAGGTTGGGATGTGGTGGGAGCAGAGAGTGCAGCACTGGGGGATCATCTGTCCTGGCTGTGCACCAAGAGATTGTACAAGCAATTTTCAGCAGCTTTCTAATTTTGCATCATCAAAGAAGGATGATCCTTCCATGGCTTATAGAACCATAGAATGGTTTGGATTGGAAGGGACCTTGATGGCTCACCTAGTCCAACTCCCCGCAAGGAGCACAGACAGCTTCAATTAAATCAAATTCAATATGTATGAATTACCTGAGCCAAAATTGAGAACTGCAGAACTTGTACTCATCAACCTGCAGTGCCAGGCCCTGGACTCAGCTCCAGGGACCCTGGAGAACAGGACACAACAAAGGTGCCCTACTCTGTGAACTCCACCCATGATTCAGGTTCCCACGGCAGAAATAACCAGAGCATTTAAGTTTGGTGGCCATTACCAGGCTCCTGATCAAGAGAGAAGCCTGTTCCCCACCCACAGAATGGACACAGTACAGACTGTAGTTGTGCCCTGAACTTTCTATGCAACCATACTGGAGCCTCTGAAGAGCTTCAGGGATCCTAGACTGCAATTTTGAAAAGTTATTTACTTGTGCTGATTTGAGCCCTACAGATCAAAGTACCTGGAACTTGTGCTTGGGTAGGGACCTGGGGTGATGTGATAGGAGGCACTAAGCAGCACTGAGGGGGTCTCATATTTCTACCCTTTCCTTCACTGTAAATTGAAGTCACTTTCCAAGGTTTAACCCACACTGGGAATTCCAAGGAAGTAAATTGCATGTTCACGTGAGAAAATACAAAAGAATTTACACACCTGAGCAAATGCTTCCTTTTCCCCATTTTTATGTCCCTTTGATCCAAGCAAGTGCATTTACCTGACAGCTGAATACTGGGTGTGCACAAATGACCCCAGCGATTGACCTGGCACTCGGTGAGAACAGAATGTTACAACGTGAATGTTTGGTCTCAGAAGTTCATCACGGAACCTCAGCAAAAGATAAATAACTGGGTGAAGCAGACCGAACACAAAGCAGGCATCTCTCAGTCCTCTAAGAAGATTAAAAAAATCATTCACACTTAAAGGTTAAAAATCATTAAAACAAAAAATCTCCACGCTTGCATTGAGAGAACTTGAAGTTCTCTTTTTGACTTGTCTCCTTTCAAAGCACCAGAACTAAACCTCGCTTGTCAAATCTTTGTATTGAAAGGTGCTGCAAAAATGTGTGTTCCAATAGATTTTTCCTTGCATGGCCCATCAGACACAGAGCTGGTTGCAGTGGAAAGGAACAAATCAGCCTGGGAAAAGGATAGGCTTGCTGACCTCTAAACAAATGATCTCAGTTTAAATCACAGGAATAGAAATATTACAGAACACATGAAGAGTCTCCCCTGTCAGAGTTGCTCAGCCTCTTGGGCAGTTTAGGTATTAATATTGTGCTGTAAATAGTAAAACAGTAGTAAATATTAAAGTGTAGGCATTCATATAGGAACAATACACAGAGCTGGCATTCTCTGTTTTCCAGCAATTGATTCAGCATTTTTCTAATTCCTCTTAAAAGCAAAATCATCCACTTAAAATGAGGTACCAAGCAATGCGCTTTTAAGGCCAGTGCTGTCCGCAGCTGTGCTGTGAGCGGAAAGATAAACCAGATGGCAAACTCAATAAAAGGGAGCCAGTTAAACAGAGACAGATGAACGCCAAAAAAACCCTTTTGCTGCATTATTGCTTTTGAACTGGTTGTCATGGCACTGGAAATGGATACCACTGTCAGCCTCCCACCTCTGCCCGGCCAGCTCTTCCCAGCCTCTGCCAAAAGCAGGGAGTTTGCACTGCTGTGAAAAGCACAGGCTGCTGCCACTACAGCTCCACTCCCACCAAAGAGGTGTGTGCATGGAGTTGCACCTTTTGTCACATCAAGTGCATCCAACAGGAAAAGACCGACCTTCGGTCTCAAATTTCAGTGTCAGAACACTGAAGTTCAGGTCATTGCAATCCTGTGCTCTGTCTGTAGCTCACAACTTACTGCCAAGAGTCAAGGACTATCCACTTAGCACTGGCTCTCTGTATGGCTGGAGCAGCAATGGAACAGAAGCTGACCTTTGTCAGATTTACACATTAATGCAGTTTCTCTTCCCTTTGACAATGTCTATTAGCAACGAACACTATTTGCTGAGCAGGTGGAAAAGAGTAAAGGATTCAACTTCAAAATAGACCTGGAAAAACTGAGTTGTTCTGTCAGCCTCTGAATTATTTCCCCTCCCATTCCCCATTTGATTTTGAGAAACTATTCAGTTAAAATTCGTAAAATCTGCTAAAATAAATACCTTAGAATGTCACAGTGTAGTTGCATTACACTTCTCTTTTTAATAGAGCATATAAAATGCAAGTTTACAATAGCTTTAGTAAGCTGTAAATCAGCACTTTTATTCAGTTTAGTTTCTGAGCTATTAATCCCTAATACAGAGGCAGAGTGCTGATTTGCTGGTCTAGGACCTCCCGAGAGAATAGTTCCAATAATCCTGATGACATGGAAAGGAAATGTTACTGAATCACCTGAGTCCCTGCTACTCACATCCCATCACCCCATAACTCAATGTTCACAGAGCTTAAGAGTCTTAATTATCAAGGAAAAAATATATAATACCATTTTGGCTTCAGTGAGCTGCAGTTACGAAAAACAAGTGTGATTTTTTCAAATAATTGTAGGCAAGCCCCTAATGAGGTTATGTACTTTGTCAGGGCTATTTTGGGTAAGGAACCCCACATGAGGTCCAGCCATAGAGCCCTTTGCTCCAGAGTCAGACTCTGGTGCATCACCAGCAGTGCCAGCACGAGGAACACAGTGCTCAGCTCGTCAGCAGGACACAAAGAACACACACATCACCACAGCCAAGTAATTTTAAAGAATTTTAATACAAACTTAATATAAACTATTTCAGTCCCTCTTAACATGTAAGACACTGACTCAAAATACTTTTATACCTTTTTTCAAGTATTGCACAATGTAGGTACAAAATTAATATTTACGATTACATTTTCTTCCATAATATATAGCAAAAATCTTTAAACTTTTAACAGAAAATACAATTTGTGTTTCTTTTGAAAAAAGCAAATATTTCGTACATTTTAATTCCACCACTAAGGAATATTCTGTACACAACCTTTTTACTTTTTTTAGAATTGATGTCTTTAAGATGGATATTTTACAATTTCAGTAAAAAAAATACAACATGAAGCTGCTGCAGCTGTCACAGATCACTGTAGTAAAAAGATATAAATGCAATACCATGTTGTAGAAACAATATATATACTCTGATATTTTACAAACTTTGTACTAAATTAAATTATACAATTAGAAAAAGACCAATAAACCCACCTATTAGTGCCAATTTTTTAATACATATACATATATGTCTGAGCACACATATATATACACATGAAAAAATTAGCCACTTCCTTGCTATATCTTAAATACTGTAAGAGGCCATATTTTTGAGAGTATATTTTTGTAATGTACAGTCTGTATAAAATAATTTTGTGCTTGGTTGGCAAATGAAAAAATGATGCATGTTGTATTTATCTAACCAAGCCTGAATGTATTCATACTACAAGCCTTAAAAAAAATCTCAAGAGGTGGGAAAAAAGATACACCCTTGGGTACGTGCACTTCAACTTGTACAACAGTATTTACTTGGATTTCTCTGTTTATTTTCAGTTAGCCATAACTGGCTGGAATTGCTGGTTAGAATACTGCATGTTGTTTAAACTAAAATTCAAGCCATCCACAAAAGACTTCTCATTTAAACCTCCATAGGCTGCAAACATATCAAAGGCATTACTGTACTGGAGAGGACTGAGGTTCAGCGGGCTGTCACCAGGAAAGATGCTGCTACCTTGGCCCTGCACGTTGGGGACAACAAACTCCTTTGCGTTAGGAGAGAGAGCAGAACTCTTCTGCTGCTGCTGCTGCTGACTGCCTAGGCCGAGCCCATACAGAGAGTGCATGGAGGAGGAGAGGGATTTCTGCTTCAACAGCTCATTGACATTCAAGCCAAGGTTGGTGGGAGAGGTGCGGGCGACCTTGTTGCCACGGCCGCTGTTCTTCATTTTGGTTGAGCCAAACTTGGTGGCAGCAAATGTGGCAGTGGTGAAGGTTAAAGGCTGAGTAGAGCGGGGCATGAAGGTGGGGCTCACAGCAGCTGAGTGACCAAAGGGAGGAGAAGGAGAACTGGACACTGAAGATGCTGGGTCACTAATAGGCATGAACACCTGGGCCTCGGGGTTAAAGCTGTTCTTGATTTCCTTATCCAACTCACATCCATTTTCATTATCATCCACATAAAGCACTTTCACTGGTCCCTTTTCACCGATTTGGTACGAAACCTCAAACGGGTCAATCCAAACACTAAGATCCTGAGGCAAGTTGCCACGAACATCATCAATGTCCAAACCACTCTCTTTGGATGCTTGTTCTATGACGGGGTCCACTTTCTCCCCTATATGAATACATCTAAACCCTGATCCTTTGTATGGCTTTTCTGGATACCAGTGCCCTTCATACTTCTTTTTCAGAAGTCTTTCAAGCTCTTCACCAAAAATGTTGACACGTCGTCTGGGAAGCTTATTGTACAGATATGAAATAATAAAATTGAGTGCTACTTGGATTTCAAGCTGCATAGCTGCTGTGCCACAGAGTTATAAGTCTGTTTCAAAACCCAAAGAAGAAAGTGTTCAAGATGCCACAGGGAAACAAAATTTCATTGAAAATGCTGATTCAAGTTGATTATTGTCCTTCACCTTGAGTGCTCTTGTTCCTTTAAGAAAAGAGAAAAGCAAACACATCCAAATAAGAACAGTGTAAGATCAAGCTCCAAGGCCTATTCTTTAGCTCCATTTTCTGCAGAAAATAGGTTACTTTTTAAGTGAAAAAATGTGCCTCAAACTATTTCTGTTCCTGCCTGCGGAAGGTGAGGATGTCAGCTCCACTCAGTGTGACTTACAAACAACACTAGAGAGGATAGGCATGTGTTTACATATGCAGCATGAGGCACTTCCAAATCACGTGAGCTGCGTGTTTAGTTATTCACAAAGCAGCAAGGATAATTTTTAAGACATCACAGAACTGCCAAGAGTGTCAACAGTTCAATTATCAACCTGTATTTGGATGATTTACAGTACTCAGCTGCAAAATTTAGTACCAGACCATTAGTTTAGCCTGAAAGGTCTTAGTCCAAGGGTCATTTATCACTTTAAAGTTTGGAAACATATTGACTACAACCACAGGCTGCAGAATTATAATAATGTTAACAGTTGCTTTAGATAGTTTCTTACAAATAGCTTAAATGATGCAACATTTATTAAGTCCAAGCAAATCTCCCTAAACTCTGCGCGGGTGAAATGACGCAAACTGAGGAGAAAATGTCTGCTGTGCACATCCAACAGCTCACACTGAAACGCAGTCAGCACATACATAATAGCTGCCCGTATGTTCTGTCACAAGGGTGACCAAGACTGATAATTAGTAGACAATTTTTTCTCTTTTTTTCAAATTATTCTCTATTTTCAGATGCAAGATGCAGTTATATACTCAATTGTATTGCACTGTCTGTAACTCAGATTTCACAAAGTTCCTGGGCTAACCGGGCTTTTGACAGCCTCAAACCAGATTGCCTTTCTCCTTCTCCATGACTCCATTTTATATTTAATGTAAGATATCGTTGTCACTGCTTCACAAAGGACAAAAGAGAAATTTAGCTGTCTGAAGTTAGAGAAGGGACAAGAATCAGGCATTAGCACATGAACTGCTAATACGAATCCTGCAGTACACCTTGGTGTAAACATACACACACACCACACACCTTTGTCAAAACGATCCAATAAAACGAATTATGGGGAGCGTTTTTGGATCAAGTTAAAAGCCCAAAGAGAATCTCTATTACCTGTGGGCTTTTCTGCACTGCATCACTAAGAACAAAATTTAGCATAGCTGTCACTAAAGATTAGAGAAATCAAAGTTAAAGGATTTTGACATTAACAATGTGACTACACGGCTTTTTTATTTCTTGCTTCAAATAATCTCCTTTTAAAGTCTGGAACCCTATTTCCAAGCCATTCGTGTTCTCCCCAACATGGTATGGGAATAGTCTGAAAGGCTACATGTATGATAAGGCGACCTTTAAACGTTTGCTGGATCAGCTCCGGGTGGGGATAAGGAAAAGATCAAGGGCAAACAGAAGATATTTACAAAAGGGGCACAATCAGTACCGAAAAGCTGATTGGGTGGTTAAACGGGGCATTTAAAAATTATTTATTAATCCATTTGCGCTGTTTCACTTCCTCCATGTCCTTTAAGAAAGGAATGCTCCTTTCAGAGCGCACCAGGCTGACGCTGTAAATTTCTCTACGCGAAGCGGATCCACGGTACAAAAGCAGCTGATCAAATATACTGGCTTGATCATTTTGAACTTGTTCTTTTTATGTATTTATGGGAAGACGGCAGTATTTCTGGAGGATCCGAGCCCATACGTGGCCCAGTAACAGCGCCCTGGCAGGAGCCTTAAGCAGTGGGAGTTACATAACCAGGCAGTCGGGTCTCATTAGATTTCTGCTCACAGCCCTAGAGCTCCGGCGGCAGCAGGAGGAGGAAGAGCATTTTCTGAGCCCGTAGGAAAGCGAAGGAGGAAGAGGAAGGGGATATCTGGAGGGCAGGTGGGGGTTGCAGGGCTCCTCTCCTGGCGCACAGTGGGGCAGGTCCCGCCGGGCGCTGCCGGCGCTCCCGGAGCGGCCCAGCGCCGATTACTCAGCCGGCACCGCTCCCTCCTCCTCGCCCGAGCGCGGCCAGGGCGGCCCAGGGGGAGCGACCCCTCACAGCCCAGCCGCGCTGTCTCTCCCAGCCCCTTCCCCGAGGAGCCCCTGCACCCACCGGATCCCCTTCGGCGCCCCCGGCACCGCGGGCTCGTGATTGCCTCAGCACACCCCGCCCAGGAGCCGAGGCCGAGCCGTGCTGCCTCAACCCCCCGCCCGCGCTCCCCTGCGCCTTACGGCCGGTACTCACCCAGGGGCGCGGGGTTAGTGCAAACAGTTCCGGCGGGGGTGTGAGGGCGGGGGCTGGCGGCTCAGCAACCGAGCCCCATCTCCGAGCGCCAGCTCCCTCGGCGAGGATGGGAGGGGAGAGGATAGAGAAGAAAAAAAAAAAAAAAAAGGGAGGGGGAAGGGTCGGAAAAAAAAAGGGGGGGAGGGAAGGGGGGGGAGGGCAGTGCTGCTCACACCCCCACGACGGGCGCTCTCGGCCGCCGCAGCTGCAACCCCTCTGCTTATGCTCCGCCGCCTGCCGCGCCCCTACTTATACCCTCCCTTGCCCCGCCCACGGCCGCCCCTCGCCCACGTCCCGCGCGGCCACATCGCCCAAGCCCCACCCCCCAGTGACTCGCGTCCGGGCAGCCCTGTCCCAGCTGCCGAGGCTCCGCCCCCTGGCCGAGCCGCTCCGCTGCCTCGTCTCTCTTCTCCGCCCCTCCCCCCGGTGCGGCGCGCGGGACCTCTCTGACGTCAACGCGCTACTCGCTTCGCAGCCCCGCTGCGTCACTGTCTACGTCAAAGCGTGCCCTTGCGCCCCTCAGCCCCGCGGGGTAGGGAAAGGGGGGAGCGCTGAACTACATCTCCCATGACCACCGTAGCCCGTGGGGCCCTCGGCAGCAGCGATGGCGGGCCTGGCAGGGGCCGCTTGCACAGCTGCCGCTTGCACAGCTGGCACCCCTCAAGCTCTGAGGTGATGCGGGCGGGCTCCTTCCTTACGGGGGGCGGGGGGGGGAGGGGGGGGGGCAGGACGACCCCTCACATCACCGCCAGTACCCTCCCCTTCGCCGCGCCCGGCGGCTAAAAATACTCCCCACAGATAGCAACGCCCGGCGATTGGCTGTCTGCCCGAGCGGCCGCCGCTGATTGGCCAGCGGGACGGGGGGGCGGCTCCAGGCCGGGTTTTGGCGGAACAAAGGTGAGCAGCGGTGGGCGGGCAGTGTGTGTGTCCGTGTCCCTCAGTGCCGGCGGGCCTGCTGCGACCTCGGGCTTCTGGGGGCCTTTGGGATGGACCCACCCCAGTGTTCCTTAAAACATCTCCGAGTTTGCTCTTAAACACCCCTAGGGGTGTTCAGCGTTGGTGCAGGGGCGGTTTCCCCCTCACATCGCCAGCAGAACCCGGTTCTGGAGGACAAATTGTAAAGGGCTTTTTTTTTTTTTTTTTTTTTTTTTTTTTTTTTTTTTTTTTTCTTCTCCGCCTCTTGCTCTGTTTGTATAATAATAAAGCATTTTGGCATAAGCGCTACATGGGCCCCCGGAGAAGTTTGGAAATGCCAGTCGGAAGAAATTCCAAGACTTTTTAACCCTTTGTAGCTGAGAGCATATATGAAAATGGAAGGCAGTAACCCAAAAGCTGAAATATTAAGGGAAAGAAAAGGGAAAGAAGAGGGTAAATATTTAGGATTTTCCACAGCTTAACGTTTCTGATGGAAGGTTTAATTGATTGTAAAACAAAGTTTTTATTCAGATATATCAATGTTGATGCTACTGGGATTGCAGTATTGCAAACAACTTGAAAATCTTGATTAAAATTCAAAATATTTACAATTTTCCCGTGTATTTCTCCCCCATTTTTAAGTCTAGAGGGTTGAACATGCTTTCAGTGAAAACTGGGTCACTTGTCACTATGCACCCCAAATGGAAAATAAAACGTGAAGATTATAACATTACAATCATTGGCAACTGTGAGACTACTGGGAACTTATGTGGCATCTCCAGGAATCTGAAAGAGTCCTGGGTATTTGTTTTGATCAAAAAGAGACAAAGTGAAACAACTCTCTAAACAGAGAAGGTGAAAAGACAAATAGAGGGGGTTGTTTTGGTTTGTTTTGGTTTTGACATTAGAGCTCAAGAGTCTCCATGGAGCAACAAGCACACATTGACAGGTGACATCAGCCACCAGCGACGGGTTCAGCTCTCGCTGGGCTCAGTTCTGGGGTGGCAGCAGCAGATTTCCCTTTGAAGTGGGAAAAACTGCACAGTGCTGCAGATCAGTGTTTTCAGGTGAGATTTCATAAGGAGCTTTACAAGCCTGGTAACTGCTGCTGAGCTGCTAAAAAAAGCCAGATTTTAAAAGCAGAGACTTTCTTTTTAATGGCTTTAGTGCTACATGAGGAGCATTAGAACTGAATTAAATGTACAGAGCTAAGATGTTGGTAATCAATGCAACCATGGGATCCTTTAAAGCTGTAAAAATTGGGATGTGCTTTTCTGGGGCTTATGTAAAGGAAGCTTCTCATGCAGTCCATGCTGTAGAAAAATCTGCTCTTAAATGCAACTAGACCGATTTTTAGGTGCCTCCCACCCCAAACCATTCTATGATTCTAAATGTTAATGATGGGTCATTGGCCCAGGAATAACCTCTTTGAGGATCAACCCCACTTTCTACTGTTCCACTGAAAGTTTCAGTTTATCCTTTTTGTCTGAAAAAATAGCTTTTAAACTGCAGTGATCACAGTGTGGTCTACATATGGCATGTCAGAGGTAGGTGGCCAAACTGTAGTAGTGTTAAATTATTAACACCTAAAGCCAGAGTTTAATCCACGATCATTTTTATTCTTAAAACCTCTACAGGCTTTTTGATGCATAAGGGTCAGAGTGGGGCCTGCAGTGTTTTTCAGCCCTTTTGATTAATGGCAATAACAAAATATCTGCCTCCCTGCTAGAAAAATCTTTAAAAATGCAATCAATACAAAATAACTCCAGCAGCAAAATTTTACTCATGTTACCAGATCTATTCAGCTGGAAGATTAATGTTAAAAGAAAAGAAAAACTATATATTCTCATCTCTCCTGACAGACATTGACAAGTCTTCTCCACAGCAGAGCAAATCTACACAAGGATTTCAGAGCAAGGCAGGAGGCAGGAGTGAGATTAGAAGTAAGAAGACTTTCTTAATCTGTATTAAATAAGAAGGGTTTGATCTAATGCTCTGTTCATAGCCAGATCCTGCCATGCTGGCCATCAACAACTGAACTAGAATTTCCACAGTCTGGGTCTCTGCAGAATAATGTCCAAATCTAAGATCTCTGCATTGTAAAACAACTACATTGCTGCAAAACCTTGCACTGCACAGACTTGACAAAGAGCCCTTCTTTTCTACTAAAAAATCTAAATTTGATTCCTGAAATAATAACTGTCTCTCTTTAAAAATCTAAATTAGTATTTTTTATTGATCAACACCTCCAAATCCAAAATACAGTTTGTAAATCTTAAAAGTTGTTTAAAGCAATTATATATAACCAAGGAAATTTTTGCTAATTATGTCATTAAGGACAAGAATTTGAAAGCTGCTGGAAGACAGGCTCAGAATTCCCACCATCCATCCTTTTCATAGAATCCTCTTCTCTGATAAATGAATGTTGCTGTACTGAATATATAAGATTTGTCCTGATGGTGGACATGAAACTTTGTATTATACATTCCCGAATAGAGTGCAGTCTCTTTTTTAACATTTTCCTATTTGGGATCAAAATTCTCCTTTTAGCATGGGAGCCTGGGCTTTGATCTTGAAAAATTGGAAAACTTTCCCCATTGTATTCATCCCTCTCAAGCCCAATTTTATCCATTTGCTGATTTTAACATGTGTTCCTTTCCCCCACCATCTATCAGTGCAAGCAACCAGGCCTGGCTGCTCTCCAGCAGATATCTTAACACTGAGTTTGAAATGGGATGTAGATTCTCTTACATTTCACTTTACCAGCAGTGATTTTTCCATAAATGCTGATTAGAAAGGGGGTCTGGACGTATCAGATGTTGGCCAGTACCAAAAGCTCTCTGACCACAAAGGTTTTTTGAGGTGAGAAACCACAAAATCACCTTTTAAGTGACGTTGTTTCAATGGAGTAAAAAATAAGCAGGAGCAGAATTCAGGCAAAACAGCCAGGTCATCTTCTAGGAGAGCCCCAAGCTTGTCTCTAATCCTGTGAATATATCATTTTTCTGGGCCAACATCAATAGAAGGAACTGATCTGCAGGAGACTAGAGCTCAGGGCTCACAAGGACATCCCCCTCTCCTAAGTGGAATGCTACCGATATTATAGCTCACCTAGAATAAGTTGATGGAGTCCTGAGCAAGACACAGAAAGAAAGCAGCTCTTGGGTAAGAAGGAGAAATAAAACCAGGAGAAATAAAGATTTTGCACCAAGGCTTTTTTCTCCCTGAAGTTTCATCCAGCTTCAAGGATGAAACTTGAAGTAAAAATGTGGGTTGTTTGTTTTGCCTGAAGATGGTATAAGGTAGGATCTGTTCTTGAAGAGGAGCCTGATAAGCGACATTTTCAGAATGGGGTACAGATTCTGAGAAGGCCAGTAAAAAAGAGTGAAATGGGGAGTAAGTAATCTAAAACTGCTGTGAAAGGTAATGGTCACAAGTAGAGAGAAACTATAATAAGAGGGAGAGGGAATGGGAAATATTTTATGAGCATCAGAATTTTCTATAGCTGTGAATAAATGGGCTGAAGAAGGAGGAAGGAGGATTGATTTCATACATTAGAGAGGTTGACCTTTGAAGAAAGTTTTATTAAAATTCAGTATAATTTTTTACTTGAGTTCACCTTTGTGCTGGAAACCTGCCAGTTTAATGTCAGTTAGTTGTGCAGTATCTGTTGATAGATAAAATTATGAGATGAGGACTGTCCTAGCTGATAGCCATGGAACTTCTAAGTTAATCAGCTTCAAATTCTTTACTATACTCATTCCAAACAATGATTCATAAACAGTTTTAAAGAGACAGAAAGCTGATTTTTAAACTGTCAATACTTTCATGGGGATCAAAAATAAACACTGAAGATGAAGGGCTGGTCTTTTGCCCTTTCAGTCTTTGAATTGATGAAAGTAGCTTGAAAATGTCTCACTAGGAATTTGCTTAAGAATTTTGTGTACTTAGCATTTTCCAGGAAGGCAAGTAAATGCTTGTTTTCCTGAAAAGGGAATTCCAGGAAAGCCATTCAGGCTTATTCAAGAGAGATACTAAATGTGAAAAAAAAAATATAGTAAATGGGGAAAAAACGTCAGTTACAAAGAAATAGCTTTAATTCAGTCCATTTAAACTGAAAGAAGGAGCAATAGAGAGGTGACTGTTTACCAAAAAGGTGATGTTTTGATTATCATCAGCTTGGGTAAAAAAACATATCATCTGACAACTACCAGGGGTCTCTTTTTGAAATAAATGGAAACTCCACTTTATTTATGCAAAGATCCAGCTAATACCACTTTTTCTGACTAACCACAATGTCCTCTAAAGCAAATCTGCACCATTGGGTCTCCCAGCAATGCTTTTTGTTTACTTAGGAAAGATCAGTGAGGCCTTCACTGTTTTTTAGTTTTTCAACAAAGTGATCTAGATGCACCTTGAATGAGAAGGGGAGGAAGGATGTTTCCATGCACTGTCAATTTATTATCAAGATTGGAAGGTACTTGAGGTTTATGCAATGAAATTCAGAACAAAATATAATTTTAACATCCCCAGAAGATCTCCCTTGTTTCTTGCCGAAGAATTTAAACCAACCAAGAACAGTGCAGCTCAGTAAGAAGCCTTCCATATTTTAAGCTTTTGGGCAATCCCTTTTCTCTGGAGCATGTGGCTGTTGACTGGGTTTCTTATGCCTTTCTTCATGCTATTTCTATCAGTTACAGTGTTTTATTCTGAGCCCAGGACTTGGAGAGTTTAATTAGTGACTACCAGGTGACAGGCAGAATACCACCTTTAGGAAAGGCACTAGTTAGAAGTGTTGATACTGGGTCTGAAGGTAGTCTGGTTTGAGAAGTGCTGAGTTAACCTGCTGGGCTGTCATGCTATGACAGTTTGAGTGACGGTGACTTCAAAGTAAATGAGTTCAAATATCTGTCTTGATAAATACAGTCTGAAAATCATCCCCATGAGAAGACCATGAAAACTATCTGTATTTTATAAAAAAA